ACTCAATTTTTGAGTGTTAAAAATTTCCCACTAACATTTTATTGTTATTTAGCTCACTGTTCTTTCATTTAGCTAATTTTTTACAAAAAGTTCAAATTATATTAAAAAAATAAATCCTGAATCTAAATGTTTTAAGTTAAACCTTAAAAGTTGAAGTTAAATGTTGAAGTTCACGTTTAGGTATTTTGGAATGGAATGCAGCTCATGTTATGATGTCATCATCCTGAGACGATGGCAACCTCCAATGCAGCTAAAGCCTGGTTTATGGTTGACGCGTTGCACCTGGCGCGAGGGGGCGCACGCCAAAAGTGACTCAATCACATCGTCCTTGTGCATTGGCCTCGCGCTTTGTCCTAGCACGTGGTCGTGCACCTCCAAAATTTTGAAACTCCGCAAAGGCTGCGTGCACCGCGCATTATTCAAACAGCATGTTTGTTCGTCATGCTTTTCCTCTCCCATTTACAAAATTTCACAAGTGTACTTCCATGTGTCCTTTTGGAGAAACCTACAACAATGCAAGCGCCACATATAAACACCTCCGCTGCTGGCGAGGGTGCGCGCGCACTTCGCYACTACCCAAAGCGCGACTATAACTGAGCCTTAAAGCTTTCCTACAAGACATCTTGTAGTTGTCTCAACCCATTATGTTTTTATATATATTTTTTAAATTTAGATGTGAAGTATTTTCTTCAGTAGCATTAGCAGTGTCTAGCGGTGGCTAGCAGTGGCCATCATGATGTTTGTTGCAGGATGATGATGTCATCCTGGTTAGCTGATGCTAACCTCTACCAGTGCTTCTAACATTGCTAGAAAATCATGGTAAATAAATATCTGGAAATCATCGGCTCTGGGCTTCTGTACTTTCATAACATCTAATAAGATACCTTTGTTTTACATTAAGGTAAATTTTTACTTTTTTTGTTTTGACAGATTTTATTTAGCAGAAGAAGAAGAAGAAGAAGAAGAAGAAGAAGTAGAAGAAGAAGAAGAAGACAATTTGCAGATCCCCATCATAGACACAACAGTTGAGTTAAAACATGAAATATTGTTTTGACATAAATGAATGCTATTCTACTGTGTGTACGTAATAAAAATTCTCCTGCCTTCCCCCCTAAAAAGCATCTTAATTGAACTTTTCCACACTTTACTTTTTARAACTAAATTATATTATTTCATGTTTTATCCACTGAGCTCTTACTGAAAACTTTTACAAATGACTAATTTAACACATGAAGGATTATGTTAGGAATGTTTGGGTTGAAAAGAACACGAGTTAGATGTTAAGCTTTGATGTTCTTAGTAAACTAGATGTTTCAGTGTGGGTGTATTTGTGTTGGGTGGGGGTTGGATGGACTTGTGATGAGGTTGGCATGTTGGGGGCTGGGTTTTGATGATGAGTGATTAGAAACAAAAGCCTCTTGAGCCGATAAACTGAAGCCACAAAAGAAGTGGGTCACAGCCTGCTGGTKCACTGCAGTCTTGCTTTAGGGGCCCGGGGGTCACATAGTGGATAATAGATMATTTCCTCAATGCACATCAAAATCTCATTGCTTTAATAAAACAGCTAAGCTGAATCAGTCCATCAGCCCACATTATCCTTATAACTGGTTCAGAAAAACAACAACAACCTTAACAGGAAAAACAAAAAGCACCACAGATGGATCAGTCAGAGGTTTACAATCATTCAACTTGAGGTTTTRATTCATCTATTTGAATTGTTCTTTTTTTCAGGTTTAAATATATATCCAGTCACTCACAGAAGCCTAAAAATACTGACTGGAATCTGTTTCATCAACCGTCTATCCTGGTAGATGGGCGGGAGAATTGCCAGGATCAAAACWGTGTAAGACATTGAGACWGAGGTCACAAACAAGACTGATGCTGTGCAAACTGCCTATAAGTCTGCCTGTCCYGAGAAAGTCTGGAGCCCGTCAAAGCAGCCGGCCTGGTGAACTCCAGAGTTGTCTGGCCTCCGTAAGGCAGTAAGATGTAAATGGCGAAGATACAGTTCCCAAACAAGTAAAACCAGGTGGGAACAGTATGTACAGTCRCACAATCACTATAGAAGTGTTCTAAGGGAATGTAAGAAACTTTCTTGGACAAAGTTTTGTGAAGATYWTAAAGGGCCTAGTGCCTCTTCRAAGCTTTACCWGTCAACCWTRTATCCTTCATTGTCCCACCAGAAGCATTGCCAGTCACACAGACAAGTGTTCTTCAGCATCTTCTCCAGGTACACTTTCCTGGGGCAGAAGAGACTGCACAGCCTGTCACAGTTGCTAACTCAAATCCAACAGAGGATGACTGGAGTTGAGCTGCATAGTCATTGGGGTGCTACACCAAAGGTTATCAGAAGGATTTACACAGCCGTAGTCCAGCCCATGTTATGGTATGCTGCTTAGTTGTGGTGGCAAGAGTGATGCTCAACATGTGCAATGAATGACCTGCCTGAGCATCACAGGTTCCATCAGAAAAACACCCACGGCAGCCATGGAAGTCCTACTGGACCTGGCTTCACATATCTTGGAGGAGGCCACATCCAGTTACACCAGTCTGGTAGGTGGAAAAGCCTATCTGACTCATGGCACACTAGAATCTGGAACTGGGCAGTTGCTGTTCCAGTAACTGCAGGACCTGGAGACAGAATGGTCAAAAAATATAATTTTGAGCCATGTTTTAAAGGCACAGTGTGTAGGATTTGTTGTTTTCAGCGACATCTAGTGGTTGAGTGGTTGAATCATCCCCCCTGGTCCTGTCCCCACCCCCACCCCCCACTTCCAAACACAAAGGAATTGCTACGGTGTCTCTCAGGTGTCAAAAACCTTTGATAATTCCAACCACGATGTCTACCAGCAGCTTCAGGGCTAGTGATGTTTCAAGTGGTAAGATTATGAGCTTTAATAAGAAAAATCATCCCAGCTACAATGATAGACAACAAATATTATATTTTCAGGGGTGGAAATTAAAAAATTTCCCCACCAGCCAC